CTATGACATGAGGGTTAGGCTCTCTCATGTTTTTTCACGTTTACCCGCCGACTCGTTCCCCTCTTGGATAGGCATCAATTTTTGCGCCTAGGAAGTCCGATCCTTGGGATATCCTAAGTGGAGGTCGAGGAACTCCTTGATGAAGAGCCCGAGAACTTCTGAGCATACACGCTTCCAAGTGCTACTCATTCCGAACATCATCTCTGTCGCGACTCTCTGGAGATCCTTTGCTCTCTGGAGTATAGAAACTTCTGTACTTGCGACGGATATCCATTCTCATCCCACGGTGTATGGTAACACTTCGCGAATGCCCCCCACTTGGGGGTGCCGCCCGAGATGGAACGCCTTTCCCCCTTTCTTTGCACGCTACCAAGACCAGCTCCTCATCAGTGCGAAGGATTCTTGCGGAATAGGATGTTCTGGTAATTAGAGAGCGTCATGTCCTTGATCGGTGCCATCCGTCGCGAAATTGAGCGTCGCAGTCCCACGAGAACTCTTAAACCAGCTCCACCTGAGATGCGCCTGCGTGGTTCCGCTGCTATTGACCCTTGTCGTGCACCATAAGATGACCCCTCATCCGATGAGCTCGACCAATCGGGAAGAATTGTATGAATGAAGGGCCTACCAAATTCTACAATCGCCCTGAAATGAAGATTCGTAGCGGGATCGCATAGGGTCAGGCGCGCGGGGACCCCCACAGAGAATTCTATTCTGAAGGCCTCGTCGGAGAGCCCGACGATAGCTCTCTAGACCTAAGCTGTCCCTGGATTAGATCATGAAGGCATAGTTTTTCGCGAGATAGCCGAAATTATCTGTCAATGATCCTCCATGGCATACCCGTTTGAAGAGTGAAGAATGAATATCAGACTAATCCAAAGAGAGAAAAGGGATGTTGAGCATAGGAGAATCGAAATTTATTTCATATCATTAACTACATCTCTATAGTAGAATGTGGCACTTTTATCCCGGGTCGATCCTCCGTGTCCCGCGACCTCGTTTCGATTATCTTTGTGACAAAGATGAACACGTCAACTGTAGAACGGCAATCTTACCGAGAATTGACCGGAGCTCGAGAACATCTCTGCCGGCGGAACCAATTCGCTTCTTTCAGAAATCGATTCGCGATGGATCGCACCGTATCTTAGAGCTGGGAAATTTTGATTGATTTACTCGTTTCTGACGCCGTCGGAGCCCATTGTCGCATATGGAACGTGTGACGCCAAAGTCTCCGTCAGAGTCAGAATTTTCGCTGTCTGTTGCGACAGCTGTCCGATGCTGCTCTCCAGGAGATCTAAGCGGAGGTCCATTCGAGCCAGCCTTTCACGAATGCCATAAAAGCTAGCGATACTAGGATCCGGAAAGCGATAGAAATGAACCTCCGATGAGGAGTAATCATCATCCTCTACTGCTCGGCTCTTGAACATCTTGCCTCACTGGCACTGAGTTCTGATCGGGATATCATCAACCAAGCTCTGGATACTCGCAAGCCGAAGGTCTTCTGAGCCGTGCGTTATGACAGAGGCGAACGCGGGACACTCTCATATAAGGGTAGTAAACAGAGCCTTCATGTTTACACTGATGGATGCATTCCTCTTCGTCTGAGATGAGCGGGCGGTTGGAGAGGCGCCGAAGTCTGCACAATCTGCCTGCCAAGTTTGCCGGAAAAATTTCCGTCGCCCGGCTGCTTGGGGTGCTTGGGTTCAGAACGCCTGGGGCCGCGAGAAGTTGGCGACTTAGGTATTCTTAGATCGCCCCCACCTTCGGAGCTAACGGACTATGTACCTATCGTGGTGATAGGGCTGAGAAAAATGAAATGATCTGCCGGGACTACGAAATAAGAGTCGTTCCAAATATGTCCGGGAGGGTCATATACATGAAGCATATTTATAGGGTTCTGAAGGGGGAAAGCTGCGAAACACAGAGCCTCTCAATGAGCCTTACGTTATCATTGGAATGGAGATGGCCGAGAAACCGCAAACTACTCGACGATTATAGATCTCCGACAGTAAACATTTATTATATATTCGTTGGCTGAAAGCTGTCTGTGCCATGAGTGATGGGTATGACATGGTCGATTGGAATAAGGGCGAGATGACTAGAAGCGTGATCGTGGTCTCCGAATGGGTGATGCATCACGGGCGGGTCGAGCTCGCGTTCAACTTGCTGTTCCTCACTTGCCACTGATTTCTGAGGAGACATGGTCAGCCCTATTTGTCCCATCCACTCGCTGATCTTGGCGAGAGCTTCGTTCACGCGAGCCTCGAGTACTGTGGGGTTCCTCTCTGTGGCAAGGTCGTCCGCGTACGCGACCGTGTGGATACTCGCTGGGTGGGGGATTCGGAGTACGCCATCGTACCCAATGTTCCACAGGATAGGTCCGATCACCGAGCCCTGGGGGAGGCGATGGAATTCTGTCCGGTTCCAATGAAGTCACACCGGAGAATATCTGCCAACTCCCGGGAATTAATGTGGGACTATCGTGGTCCGATGTAGGGTGTCCCCGAACGCGCCCCACGGAAATCTCAAGCGTCCCACGAAGCAGTCCATGACAATGGGCACGGAGGTCGAATAACATATGAAACCTCATCTTTCGATGACTGTGAGTGGTGTCGGATCGGCTCATCGACATCTAGTTACAATTCCCACGAGACATTCCGAACTTGACCTTACGTTGCTCCTCCAAGGCGTGTCGCGCTTTCGACATCGGGATTCGGGTCCTGATGATCTAAAGATTCACGGCGAACTGCCTAGGTTTATGCGGAGCGCAGAACTGCTTCTCTCCGGCCAAAGATCAAAATTACTTTTTCTCAATGATCCCTCATGGCACACACATGTAAGAAGCAAAGAATTAATATTGGAGCAATTCCAACGAAGAGTAGGTTATTGAGTATAAGAAAAACGAAATTCATCTCACATCATTCACTAAATCCCCATAGTAGGATGTGGCTGTCTTATCGCGACCCGCCAGGAAGTTGAGCTCAAGCTCAACGCCACCCGAAAATCCCGCGGCTCTCGCCGTCTGAGATACCTGGTCCATCGCAACGTTTTTCAGCATCAGCAGTGCGATGTTCCCGGTAAAGTCAGCACAGTGTTGCAGGATGCCGATGAAATCCGGTTCCATTCTCGGAAGATCGAAAATCCCATTGGAATAGGATGGACCCCTCTAAGGGGGACTCGAAATGATGGCGTCGACGGGCGTTTGGAAGAGAGTCTCCTTCATCTCGAAAAAATCATTGACTTTGGAGGAGATCTTCTCCGAGACGCCATACAGCGTCGCCATGTCCAGAGCGGGGCGAATTCCATACGGATCGATGTCAGAAGCGAACACGTGAGACACCTCGTCCATGAGAGCCACTTGGACGATGTTTCCACCCGCTCCGCAGAAGGGATCGAATACCCGTATTTTCCTCCCCGACCTCCGGCTCAGAGCGGCGACCTGTCGAGCGATATGCTTCGCTATCTGCTCAGAACACACCGACAACCATGCGGGCGTTTCTTGGAGCCTCCTCAGTTCTTCTAGTGGGATATAGAGAGCGTGGAGCAGGGCTCCGCGTCCCACTCCTGGTCCACCGACGGGATTCGCTCCATAGATCGACGCTAGCGATCCTCTCGCGGACGTCCTCCTCGATGAAGACACAATCGAAGCCATTGTAACTAGTGAATTTGCTTGTTGAGAAAGATGCCGAGTGGAATCAGCGAGCATCTGCACTAGAACAACGATTCGAGAATAATGCCCTCAAGCGAAGAGTGGGCTAAATAAATAACCCCGGGCCCGCTGGGGTGAGATTGAATTCCAGCGTGGGCGGACCCCTCTCTGCGCTAATTAATGATTCTCTCGCTCAGAGCGTAAAGGTTGGTATCCAGAATCTGTGCATTCCAAACTTCTTCCTCGGAATTAAAAATCGAAATTCGAGTCAGGATCTCTCTCTCTCTTTCCTTATTTGTATCTAGGGCATTCGCGTCTCCCCCATTAACTCTTGGATTCCATTATTGGATCGCGGGTGGGCCAGCCCTGGTCCGCGGGCCGATCCTCCCGCGACCCTTTTCGATTATCTTAATGCCAAAGAAAAACTGGTAGATATTTATTATGATATTAGCATTTCTCGTAAGGAGTGACCGAAAACCCACAGCTTCTCTCCCGGCAACTCATCCGCTTCAGATTCGCGAAGAGTTTCTTTTGCAGAGGATATCCATTGAGGTGCAGAAGGGCAATGCCGCAGCGGTCCTCAGATCACTGCCAGATGCCGACGGTCCAGGCTCGACGCTCTTCCCTATGGCCTAGAATGAAGCTATGAATGACTGATACCCCTCGATTATCCTCAGATTGGAGCAAGCGGTGAGAGATTGTCGTGTTCCTCTGGACGCTTCTGAGAACCAGCTCGATAGGTTTCTCCTAGAGAAAGAGGAGGTTTAAGCTCTCAGGTCCGCGCTCACGGGACCGATCGCCTCATAAATTGCTCGAGCCCTCCGATTGGAGCAATGGTCGTCATAGAGCAACTTCAGAATACGCCCGGTCAAGGTCGATGCTTCGTTTCGACCGATAAGGCGAGACATAGAAAGCCAGAATCTCAATCGAAGAAAGTTGTATCCGAATCCGCTTGATAACGGCGGAACACGAACGCGATAGTATTCTCCTCTCCCGGAGCTAGCCTTGCCACGTCCTTGGTGAAGGTTCTCCATGTCCCGGTGGGAGAATCTTCCGCCGATCTTCGCCCATCCGCGCAGAACGATATTCTTGGTGACCGGACCTCGCCCCATCAAGCAAACTGCTCTGAAATAGATAGGATCGTTGTAGAATCGGACGCGTCCACTCTTCGTCCGTTACGTGTGGAGGGCTCCACGTGCTTCCGCGGATTCCACTCACTATCTGGTTTCTCTGCTGTCTCTCAAAAAGCCGTCCTCCCTCTCCGACTCTCTCCGACCCAATACAGTCTTGCGAGCGCCTAGTTCCCTCGATGATTCTCGAGCAGATCGAATTTGCATCGACATCCACTTCGAGGATGTCACCGTGCCGTAGGGTCGCTATCTTCACGCTTTTGCCTCTCATATGGATTGCTTCGAGCGCCGAACAGTCTCCCCTTCTCTTGACGCCGCTGATTTCTCGGAACGAATTGCTGCGAGCGAGGAATCTCAGTCTCGTCGGAAGTCTCGATGGCTGTGACAATCCTGAAACTTATTCTGGATATTTGACTGTGAACGAAACAACGAACGCGAACTTGTTCTTCTGGTTCATCCCGGCGATGGTGAGTGCTCCCATCGTAGATGAGAGATCGAGAAAATTGAAGAAAAAATATTATTGATTAAATATCAAAATCCACAGAATACCTCACCGACGGCCCCGGTGGTCCTGTGGCTGCAGGGCAGTCCAGGGTCTTCGTCTTTGTTCGGCCTTTTCGTCGAGCATGGCCCTTATGAGGTAACGAAGAACTTGTCGCTTCAACCGCGCGCCTCCACATGGGCGAAATCATTCAACATGTTATACATCGACAATCCTGTGGGCGCCGGATTTTCGTACGTTTCGCCCGACGGGCATGCTAGAAACTTCTCTGACGTTGGAAGAGATCTCTTCATTGGACTTCAGCAGTTCTTCACGCTTTTCGATGAATATGGAGAGAACGACTTTTACGTCGCCGGGGAATCATTCGCAGGTCAGTGGAGTTGTCGGGAAACCGTGAATTCCACGTCTCCGTTCACGGTCGACCGTCTCTCGGTTTGTGAAATGAAGTTGAAGCTGAGACTTTAGTTCGCATGAGCTCTGCGGGGCGTCACTTAGATGGGATTCGATCCCATTGTGAGCAGAATTCCTTTCACACGCAGAGCATCTTTTGTGCTTCGATGGTGTGAGTACGGAACGACTCGGAAACGGCTCCGCTTTCGGAGGTGACACAAAAATATGCAGTTCCGCCTAGCGTGGAAGAATTAAGGCATGAAATCCCACATTAGCTCTATTGGAAGCTACGAACCAATGTCACAGATCGCTGGAGGCTTTTCTCGCGCTTCTTGAGTGAGCAAGGACGGCTCGGGCGCTTTCGGACTACCTGGTTCGAAGAGCTGCAGGCCAGCCCGCTCACTTGAAGCTCATTGTTTTCCGCCTCCTGTAACTAATGATCCGATCGTTGGACTAAGGGAATCGTCTCTTCTAGGAAAATTCGTACCTGCACTCGCTCATGAAATTCTCCGGAACAACCTCACCGCCAAGATGAACCTCCAAGGGATCATCATCGGTAGCAGTCTGTGTGATCCCCCAACCATGATGAGCTACGCGGACTTTCTACTCAATCTCGGACTGATAAGCGAAATTCAAGCCAAGTATTTCAAGCGACAGGAGCGAATCGTTCTCGAATCCTTGAAAGAGAACGACTATGTCAAAGCCTTCGAAGTTTTCAGCGAGCTCATCAATGGCAACAGAGTCAACAGAACGAAGTCCTACTTTCAGAGGAAGAGTGGATTCTCGTTGAAGTTCAACGCTCTCCAGGCGAAGGTATCATCCGGAAAAATCTATCACGAAAAGATGTCCAAATGCTCCGCATAGTGGTGTAGCTTTCCTTGTGCATCTCGAGTCATTCGTCTCAAAGATTTAATCCCCAATCAGGAACCGGAGGCCTACAATTACTTCAAGGGCTTCCTCAAACTGAACGGAACCCGGCAAGCGCTCCATGTGGGTAATGCAAGCTTCAATGACGGACTCACGGTACGACAGAGCCTGAAGGGCGAAATGATGAAATCCGTGAAACCATGGATCGAGGAGGCCTTGGAAAGGCGTCTCAAGGTTCTCATATACAGTGGACAGTTCGATATCATTGTCCCATATCCGTTGTCGAGGTCCTTCGTGAACTCGATAGGATGGGGTGGGGCGCAGGCATTTTCAGAAGCCAGACGACTCATATGGCGAAATGAGACGACGGGTGAGCCAGTAGGGTATGTGAGGCAGTTCGGTGTCTTGACAGAAGTTCTCGTGCGGAACGCCGGCCACTTCGTGCCCTTTGATGCTCCCCGTCAAGCCTACGACATGATGGACCGCTTCATAAATAATAAAGCCTTCGGTCGATCTTCGAGAATGATCCGCACAAGTCCTACGAGGGCGAAACAATGATTCGTTCTCCATCGACCAACTCGATCTGGAAAATATCAGTCTAGCAAAGCAGCGTATGCTTCGGACATGTATCTGGGTATCACTTAGGAGAGACTCAATAAAGAGCAGAGATTTCTCGAATGAAAGACTCCCCTCGCGTCCGGAATCAGCTCTACGAGTACGAACGGGGAAATTCCCCCTGCACAAAAGAGTTTCTCCCGGAACGTGTAAGATCAGCCTTCAGTGGATCACGGATCGACTCATGGTGCATATTTCCACGAGTCAATCCGTGCTCCTTTGAAAGCTGGTACTCTCACGAGCTGCGAGGAAGAATCCCTCTTAGTTATGAACGACAAGCGGAGACAATCTCATGCCGAGATAGCTGCTGAGGGAGCATGATTTTTTCCGGAGGAACGTTTGCACCTCCCGGATACAGCTGACTCAAGATTGATAGAGCAACAAGCGATTCCGACTTCAGGCTCTGCCTTTGATGTGCACGCCTCGACGTTGATCACGAGTGCCGGACGGCGGACGTCGCACCGAACGCCAAGACATGCACCTCGAACGAGTCATTCGAGAGCCCACCGTGCAGCGGTTCACACTTCAATGCCTGTAGGTGAGTGGATTCCATCATGAAAGGCTAGTGAGAAATGAGATTCATGATGGAGACGATGCGGACCTGGGCTCCCACACAGGCTCTTCGTAGAGCCTCTCAAGAACTTGCGATTCGAGAACCGCGAAATTCCGGAGGTTTTCAACGGGCTCGTGTCGATACACGGATCTGGGAATTCCATGGCTAAGCTGCATGTTTTTGAACATTTTCCCAGCAAAGGCTGCATCTCTCATGAGGATCGCGTACATTTGAGAAAGAACTCCGCGATTTCAACACACCCCATATCGGAGACCGCGAATCGTACTCGATTGCTACAGGAACAGAAAGACCATGCCGTGGTGCCACAATTTTGATTATCCGCCACGTCCATACCTGATGTACCCGATCCGTGATTACGAACCCATCGGGGTCGATTGGCGTCAGCCCTGGGGCCACGCTAGCTATAATGATGACGGTTTCCTCGTCATCGGTACTCAACCAATGCGGCTCCACTCCCATCTCTCAGTCGAGCTACACAGCATTCGAATCACGAGCGCGCAACGTCCAGAAGTGAGTACAAGATTTCATGAGCCGTGAATCGTTCCGTCACGCGTTCCGGAACGCGATTGTCTAGGTAGATGGGGGGAAAAGCCGGACTGGTCGGGCAAGAGATTCCTCCTTTTCGGTGGCGTCGCCATCGACGACGTCTCGGCTCTTGGAGTGGCCCGGCATACACGCCTCCCGTCCCTGATTCCTAATCGGGCACGCCAGCGAGGCTCTCGGATCTCCAAACCATTCGACTGCCTGCCGACGAGGAATCGTACTCCCAAAAATCTCATAGGACCTATCTGATCTAAGAATCTCTGTCGACACCATTCCGATAACGAAACTCTTCCAAATCGATTAGAGAATACCATCAAAATTTTGACTGATATCAGGAACAGTAAAGAATGGCCACTTTGGTGAATTCCCCTCATGAACCCAATCAATTCGAATGGAAACCAGATTCTTACGACCCTGTGTTGTGAGCGAGTTCTGCAAGGTAAACGTTGACGTTCATTATATCCTCAGCTCCAAACTCCCATCGAAGCGACGCAAGTCTGTTTCGACGAGAACCCGGACAGATTCGTCCTTTCACCATCCGTAAGCATCATTTACTGCGCCCAATATTCGCGAAATAGATATCCCGATGTTGGGGAGTCCTCAAAGTCTCGAAAGCCATCAGCAATCATGAGCTATTCTCCCACAGGATCGGTTACTGTTCCGACAACTTTTCCCATTGAGAAGAGCACTCTTACCTCCGAAGGCTGAGGGTGACGATAGACCAACGCTAGTTCTCGACCTCGACGAGACCCTCATACACACAACATTCGAATGTCCACCGGGAGCCCATGACGTAGAACAAGTAAATATCTCAATACTAGGTTCGACGGAAACGGTGGGTCTCTCTCTTACTCCCGCTCCTTCCGTCCCGACCAAAGATGACCGAGATGACTTTCCCTTGATAGCTGTGCGCCATCATGCGTCCGAACGTCAGATCGTTTTTGAGAACGACATCAAGATGGTATGAGATCGTGGTGTACACCGCGGCGCTCCCGTCGTACGCGGACAGTATCCTCGATGGATTGGATCCGCATAGGAAATATTTCAGCTATCGACTCTACCGCGGACATTGCTCTTTCTATCAAGGGGTCTACGTGAAAGGTTGGTTTCGCTTTTCTACCCGATCTTGATTTCAAGCCACGAAGAATTTCAATCTACGGAAAGCTTCTCCAACTTGACAGATCTCGAGGCTCTCGGGCGACCGATGAGCAAGGTTGTCTTCGTGGATAACTTCCCCGGGGCGTACATGATGCAACCTTCGAACGCGCTTCCGATCCGTTCTTTCGTCGGTGACAACAACGACAAAGCGCTCTTATCTATTCTGAAATTGTTGAAGATTTTGAAAGGCAAAAACGACGTTCGTCCAATGCTCAGACGATACCGAAACCAGTGGAAGAGAATCCATTTTTGCCCAGATCAGGACAGAGCCTTGGAAGAATACGACGAAGAAGTAGAAGACTGAATTTCGGGAACAGCAGCGTACTCTAATCACATTGGGTCGTCTCTCCAGTCTTCTTGCCTCTCCATTTCGGATTTGTGTATGTGCCTCGGAAAACTGAGAGATGATTTACATCCTCGGAGGCGGCCGCACGTTCGGACGAAATCATCGAGGTGACCCTAGGCTCGGCTGAAGATCCTGGGAGGATCCTTGCGAGCGGTCATGATTGAATTGGGGTAGCGACGAACTTTTGTTCGGAAGGCGCTTTTGTGCAACAAACATCATTCAGAGCAACCCTAGCTGATGCATCCCGCAACCGACAAGCGCCGTTTAGAATTACTTTTAAGCTAGACTTTGTGAGTTTTTTGTGATTACCAAATGACTTCAGCGGCAGCTCGGAATGTATTAGGGATACGCACTAGGTAGTAGACAGAAAATTGACCACCAACTTGACCTCCGTACAAAAAAACGGATGACAGAACCTGACCTTAAATAAGAAACAGATGACGAATATAGGAACTTGAAATAAATGGAGATATCTTGAGAGTAAACGATATGAAACCTGGTAGTCCTCCTTCGTCCCCATCTGAGCGCCGATATCCGATATTCGGAAGTGGATAGTCTTTGAGAGCCGATGAATGCGAGCTCTTCATCGTAAACGGCTGGCACGAATGAATTTGACTGTGTCGGTAGCCCGAGTCCATCAGATCGTGGAATTCTGAATCGACGAGCGGGAGCAGCATCTCTCCCGGCTGCGGGCAGATCCAATTCCAGAGAGGATCTAAATATTGCCGAATATATGCAACTTCTCTCACCCTCAAGATGCGAAACTAGCCGTACTTAACCAAAGGTCTCCTTTTTCAATTTCCGCTCCGCGGGGATAGATGACGAGCGCGTCGTCTCCCTTGACCACAGAATCGATTTCGAAGACTGACGCGTTTGGCATTTCGACTGCCTCTTCTCCAGCTTCGCATGAGAATGACCACCAGAAAGTGTCTCTAATCGCACAACGCGTGCCAGGGAATACTATACGATCATTATTGGACTCCGGGGTGTAATCGTCACGGAAGACGATTGCGGAAGCCCGAGTCGCAACACGAGAGATGTCTCCATCGTCGAGGATGTGAATCGACGAGCTTCTTCGGGCAAGACTGGAGCGCTCACAGACCTGGGATAATCCTCAAGCGAATCTAGCGTAATCTTCGTTTTCCTGTAAGCAACGGTGTTCAGAAATCGCTTCATCTCGGACTTGTCTGTGCACGATAGGATTCCCTACGGAACAGCCACAATGACTCGGGGAATCTTTCCCACCAGGGAAAAGGACCACAGGGGCGCACGAAGAGACCAAAGCGCATCGATCCGCAGTCTTTGCATACGATATAAGCTTTGCGTGGCTGACATTGAGGGAATGCCAGCGGAAAAAGCCGACTATTCGATCCGTCACATAGAGGAAGCAGCCTCTCACTATTGGACAAGCTTGGCTCCAAGCAGTGATCAGCTCCAAGTAGACTGGCTTATTCTCATGTGCGAACCCCTCATTCTCGCCTCGGGACTCAACGATCCAGCGATCCAGACGCGAATATCGGTCCTGGAAGACCAGATGTTTCAGCGGGGCTTCTCCATGTTCCTGGTTGCTCATGGTCAGTGCGGGCGAGATTTGATCGTTTCGCCTTGCCTCATCGCTCAGCGAGGCCAATCTCACGTCTCAAGTTGAGAGAATGCCCTTAAGTTTACTGTTGTGTTGTCCTTCCCCCGACCCTGTGTTCCTGGAACCACTGATCCACGGCGCAAAACGCGGGAACCGGGTTCGAGAGCCTGGAGGATTCAACGTTCCCGGCTACCCAGAGTATATGACGCTGAATGCAAAAACTACCTAGGTCCGATTTGTTTTTCTACTTCTCCCCGGCTCCGGCGAGTCTGAGAATGCTGGAAGCTCCCCTCCCCACAATCTGGCCGAGCTCATTGACGAAGAATCGGATTCCACGCATTCCAGAACAACTTTCTGTATTGACCGATCCTCTCGTGGCCGCGAGGCCGGGCGGGATCCTTATCTTTGCTAGAGCTCTTCGATTTGAACGCCGGTCCTCACCGGCTCGATGCAAGCCTGGAGCTGAAGTTCCGCCGACATACTCTGGTCCAAAAGTTCAGTACTCCGATCTCCGATCAACCAGTGGCACCTGAGGTTCCGTTCAGAGACGGTGCGAGCGCCAGCGCGAGAACGTTCGATCAAGCTGCGTCGGATCTAATCGAAGCACTGCGGCACTTCGCCACTGTTTTAGGAGAGTATTCAAACGGAGATTTCAATCTCACGCGCGAGTCCCCCGCAGGTTCGTTCAAATATATCGATTCATCGCGGAGAAGAGACAATAGCTCCTCGTAACGGTTTTGCTACATCAAGTTTCTGACGATGAGAAGAATCTCTGATATCCTCCCACAGGGAAACTATTGCCGGCCGCAGCTCACGCCATCCGTATGACTTTTATTACGCCATAGATCGGTTCATCGAAAAAAACTCTTCCGAAGCTGATCTAGCCTTGACTGTCTGTCTCCGATGCTGACTCCGTACCGATAGAACGAATCGCGGGGCTCAGCAACAGCGACCCGGATGTCAGGGTGGTTTATGAGCTCAATCACGTGGATAAGTTACGCGTGAGAATTCAGGCGATCAATGTAGGAACCTTGACACTTTCCGGTACGCTTACGTTCCACGACGAGATCGTCGATTGAGGTCGCTGGCCGGTTCTCATCCGCCAGGGCGGAATCTCGGGATATCCTCGGCATCTAATGGGAGCCGACCCTCGGAGGGGCGGACTTAGATGATTTAGCGCGCTCATAGTACAATGCAGATCGATGGCGTTTTATTTGAGGTACAAATTTATATATGAGTCATGTCATAAGGGGTGGGATTGTCTCCACGGCTCGTTAAATGCAGGATAGGAACCGCTTGAGCACAATACTGCAACTCGAGCCTTCTTTATGTACGTAGTCTTGTCACTGAATAAATTAATCATTGCAATCAAACGATCCCGAGTCATTCTTGTCTGAACATTTCTTATCTCAAGTATCGCAGTCATCTCGTTCTTTAGAAGGATTTGTCATTCGTTGATCTCTCCTGCATGGAATGGAATATCTACAAATCACTGGTGTACCAATCCGGATTCATGGTATCAGTATTCATGTTCACCGCAGACAAAGGGTTATCGTAATCGGATTCGGCTTCCATCGCGTCAGCATGCATCGAATTGCTGTAGTTCGCGACCGGGCTGAGAGTTCCGCTTTGAGCGATGTCGAGTTTTACTTCCTGTCCAGTACCTGCAGAGAACGATAGCCTTCAGAAAGCATGAAAGAATATGCTGCGGGCGGTGTGAAGAAACGGCACGATTCTCCGTGTGGAAGGGGCGGGATAACTTGATATGGAAACTCGGGAGGCGGGAGACTGAAATTCTAAGTTGGGATTCGGGCTCGCGAAGAGCACTTCAAACTACGATCGATGACTGCGTCATCTCTCAATCACTACGCGAAGTAAAGGTGAACTCACAGGCAGGGCCTCAAATCCGAATCAGCCTCGACTCAATGCCAGATCCCTCCGAGCAGCGGTCAGAAGATTAGAGTTTCCATTCAAATACATATATGTAAAATTTTCGGGAGAGTCTCCGGAATTCGGTCAGCTTCCGCGAAATTTTGGTCATTTATTGAACACAAGCATGTGTCTCGAGATCGGGCAGAGCTTTGTTCAATGGGAAGGAATGGAATTTGAAATTCCCGCCCGGAGTTTCGCGGAACGAGTTTTTCTATTTCTGTATCAACTCGGGCAGACTCCTCGACTCCCTGCTTAGAAGCAGAGGACATTTTGATCGAACACTGAGAGGCGGGCGGGCGGGCGAAGGAGATCATAGGCTTGTTAGGAGAAAGTTAGACCCTTCGATTCCGCAAGCCCCGGCCTCCAAAACTCAGTCCGAGTCGATTTATCCACTAATCATGCCTCCGCCGCATTTCTAGCTCAGATGTTGAGGACGAATAGCTCACCGTGGGTCGCGTAATTGTTGTTGTTGTTGTGGCTTGGGAGAGGCCGAGGACCTCCAGGAGCCCCTTGAGGCGGAACGGGGTACATTGCCGTATTGTAGAGGTCGGCATCAAAGCCGAGATCCATCTGGTCCCCGTGGCCAGACTGCGGCGTCGCACGGTCCCCTGGTCGCGTCAGGCCGGCATTGAGCTCCATAGACAGTCGTTTCTTGTAGTCTTGCGATTTATCGTCGGACATACGAAATAGCACTGCCGCGGCATATGTAGCTGAAAGGATGGGGTCATTGAGGAAGAGGAATGAATCTCAGCACCCTCTCGCATGCCCCCCGTTCTCGTCTCACATTCTCCGCGAAAAAAAGTCTCGCTCACTCACCGACCGCCTCATTCCCAGATCTCAAAAGTTCTGTCAGAGGTCCCGTTGCCCCGTCTGCTTCGATTTGGTCGGCTCCTTCGCGGTCACCGGCCAGCTCGCAGAGGACGCCTGCTGCAACTCGTTGTAGATTCTCGACCTGAAGACAGAAAAACCTTTCGAAATCCTCGCCGCACTCCGGATCGAAAAGTCGGATGCTGGGATCTGGATGCTTAACTAGAGGCTTCTCTCACAATGACGGTCTTACCTCCGAGTAGAGAAGTTGGACGAAAACCGGAATTACGTTCAATGATCGAATCAGAGCGCGATTATGAGCCTCTTTCGAGAGAATGTGTAAGGCTCCGACGGTGCCTTCCACTATTTCTTCCATCGCAACGCCGTCGATAACGGGACCGCAACCCCCGTTCGCTCTGTTTGCCGTCATGTCTCCGAAAGCGTCGTGGAGAATCTGCGCGAACCTCTGGATAGCCCCGTGGTCTCGAAGCGGGGCGTGATTATCGGGATGAAGCGCCAGGTTCCGCAACAGTCCAATGACTGCTTTGATTAGCGGCCATCTTGACGGCGGATGGAGGAGTTTGACGATAACTTGTAGGCCGTACGTTCTGCGAATCGCTTGTTGCGCAACTTCAGACTCCGAATGGCGAGAGGTGAGATGCCGAAGAGCGCAGACCGCAGGTTCGGTGACTTCTTCGCGGTCGCCCGCTTGGATCACCGTGGTCACAAGCGCTTCGCAGCCGCCGACCCGACAGACGATGGATTTGTTCCGCTGGTTGTTGCAAGTCAGGTTCGACAGGATGCCGGCAGCGCATGTGACCACGTTCATGTCCTGAGATGAGAGCAGCGAAACGAGGTTCCGGAGAAGTTCCTCGAGATTGTCCTGCAAATCCGTCAAACCTCATTAGTCATGACATGCGCACGGAAACCCACGGAAGACGGCTATAGTCACGGACGTACCTGACGCGTGGCAGCATCGGACAGATTCCGGAGCGTCCACAGGCAATTGAGGACCAAACGCTCAGACGAGTTGTTCAGATGCTGAGCCAGTGCCTGCACACCGCCAGCTTCAACGATAGCTGGTTTGTTCGAGCAGCACACGGATAGCACCTAAGGTGGGAGGCAGCTCATTGATTTTCTAGATAATTCGTGTTCAAATATCCTGTAATCGGATCATCATCTGGATTTCTGTCGAATATCCCCACTTCTCGAATTTCGTGTTTACCTTGAGAACTCTTGTGGTGGCCAACAGAAGTTTTTCGTACGAATATATTCGCAGGATTCGAACCAGCTCCGCGGGTCCCCCCGATGCGAGAATAACCAGTTTTGACTCCTGATTACCATAAGCCAAAATCTGCAAGCAGTCGGTGACAATCGCCAGAAACTTGACGTTATTTCTCTGCAGCAGGGAGACCATTTTCTGTAACCCTCCAGCGAGTCGGACCGCCATCTTCGAGCCGTCCTGGTGCATCAATAAGTTGTGGAGAGTAGTGATTGCGTAAAACAGCACACTTTCCACCGGTGATGAGAGCATTTTGATCAGCGCCGATATGCCTCCAGATTTAAATATGGCCAATAAACCCTGCTGGTGTTGTGACAAGTTATGGAGCGTTCCGGCTGCATTGCGCGTGGTTTCCAAGTCGTTCGAGGTTGTCATGGCCTTCAGGAGAGCCGCCACCATTTGCGAAGAGTTCATGATGGCGTGCCGGGAGGCTTCTTTCCTCGAGAGCTGGTGAACCATGACTGCCGCATGCCCGACCACCACTTGATCCTCGTCATTGAGCAGTTTTATTAGCTCTGGAATAGCTCGCGTTGCTAGGTCTGCATCGTCCTGATAATTGATCAGATTTACAACGGCGTGCCGTAGCATCTGAGACGGCTCCGAAAGCCGTTGCACCGTGGTTGGCTGATTGGGGTCGTACTGTGTCGATGGGATATCGAGACCCTCATCCACGGTTTCGGGAAACATCGCCGCTCGAACCCTCTGCGATCTCGTCTGACTGAGCTGTTGGCCGACCTCCTCCACGATTTGGTCTCCACTCATGTGGCTTCCGAAATTCCTTCCTGCAGTCGAACTGTGATCCCAGTCGAATAACATGTCATCGTCCAGTGGTCCGACGCAGGATACGGGTCCCGCACTCGCCACTCCAGAATCTGTGCCTGGGTTCGGTGCCAGGTAAGAGTCCTGCTGCCACATCAGGAGCTCCTGGTCTCGGGAAAGATCCAAACCAGCTGCAGAGCCGACTTTCGGATTGGTCTGCTGCTGCTGGGAGCCTAAAAGAAAAATTCTTTTAGTGTGCGAAACTGACGGGCCACGAGATTATCGAACCTGCTCTGTGCCATCTACATGTAGCATAGTCGAAACTTCGATGTGATCCCGCGTATCTCGGAAGCCCGTTCTCACCGGAATGCTGCTGGCGCCGTGGCGCTGCCTGTTGCACGGTCGCCATCGAATCTCCGATTTTCGTTGGATTCCGGAGGCAGTATCCGCTCTGAAATTACCGGGAGTTGGTAAGCTCAGCAAAATATTCAGTAGAGAATCTCTTCAGAATGCATTCTATTCCGAGAGATCGAGGTATCTGCTGAAGGAGCGAGGGGAGAGACATCGGCACTTTAGACCATATTTTTCGGCTCCAGTCGTACAAAGTGGTAGCCGGTTAGAATCGCAGACCTGAGACTCATTTCAAACCACCGGCTCCGGGCAACTGAGCCAAAAAGCGCAGCCGGCTGACTTCGAGCCGTGTAACGTGACAGGGGGGAGCTCGAATCGTTGGAGGTCTAAGTTTCAAGGATACCTCAAGAGTTTACATGATTGATGCCTTCCTCTGATATTTCGATCACAAATTACATTTCCGTGTGTTGTGAGCACAAGGAAAAGAGGGACCGCGATTCCCATTGGTTCCCCTGGATTGAGGTTATCGGATTTCTTCATGATTCCACAGAATCTGTTTAACTGGAGTTTGGCACAGTAGAGTTCTGAATTTAGATATGAGCCCCTGAGCACTCCGTGGAGGTGAGCCAGTTAGGCCCCAATTTCTTCCCTACTTTCTCGGGGCGCAAATGTTCTGAGTCCAGATTCGGTCTGCCATTACCCAATGAGAAGTCTCCCCATGAGACAATCTAATCACGGGTCAGAGCCCGCTATTTGAGCACCGCTCCAAGCTTCGGCTCTGTCAAACTCCTCGACTGACTAACGACAACAAAGCACGATTGACAGATTGCAGAAGCGGAATATCTTGAACCTGTTCGAAACTCGTCGCTAAGAGTTAGCCCATTGAGCTCTGCATCCTCCTTGCTCTTTCTGACTCGAGCGAGGGAACTCACCGCTAGAATACACGCATGTGGAGTGTACGAAACACTGATTTCACTCCACAGACCCAGATCATGTATAGCGCTAGACGCTGTCGGTGAACATGAAAGGAACTGCCCGGTTCTCGGATGGATGCATTTCGCCTGACAAGAGCCGGGCGGCCTGAGGGGAGGCTATACTTACCTGGGGAGCGAAGCACTCCTGGAAGTGATCCCGATCTCGGGCTCAATATTGAGCTCGAGGTGCAGAAGCTTCGGCTCATGATTCATGATCGAGCGATCAAGGGCCACGAGCATATCTGCACTCAGAATCCGAAGCATCGCTCGTTTCAAGAGATCTTCCCCAGAGACTCGAATCCCGAGGACTCTCTTGAAGGACTGGCACACGAACGCTCTAGATTCCGAGTTTCGACTTATTCATCGATGGATGCTTCAAAGAGCCACCTGAGAGCAATCTCTTGATAGGGGTCATCGTCGGTGCCGCTCGGCTGATGCATCGCGGCTGAGGCTGAGCCAGAAGGCAGTTGGGAGTGACCAGAAGTTATGCTTCCCACACTTTCTCAGTCGGGACCTCCGAGACTTCGCGCATCATAGGTGTGAAGGCTTTCCTTATATCAGGGGCGTCAGAGACGTGCACCGCGAGACACAAGTGGCTCACAGAATCTTTTCCACGATCGTCTTGCGATCGCCTCTTGGGAATTACCTGGGAAGGCCTATTTGAGTCACTCAGGTGAAGGTGTTGTCGAATACTTTTGATACTCCATAATGTACTACGATAGGACGGTGACTGATGTGTTCTCCTTTCCTCATTTGGAATCTCGATCCCTCCTATAAGTGAAAAACAGGAATTCACGAAG